GGATCCTATTGATTCTAATTGGGTTGGGATGGATGACCTTTAGAGATCCCTCAAGCAAATTTACATTGCGTTCCCCACATTTCCCAATGATGTTTTTTGCTTTGATATGGATGTCACTTCACTCAGATGTATATATTATACATACATACATGCAAGGGGTTAGGATGTATATATTATACACACATACCAAGGGTTGGGGTGGATGACCTTTGGGGGTCCCATTGAGTCTCATTGAGTTGGGATGGATGACCTTTGAGGGGACCCATTGAGTCTCATTGAGTTGGGATGGATGACCTTTGGGGGTCCCATTGATTCTCATTGGGTTGGGATGGATGTCCTTTGGGGGTCCCATTGATTCTCATTGGGTTGGGATGGATGTCCTTTGGGGGTACCATTGATTCTCATTGGGTTGGGATGGATGTCCTTTGGGGTCCCATTGATTCTCATTGGGTTGGGATGGATGTCCTTTGGGGGTTCCACTGATTCTCATTGAGTTGGGATGGATGACCTTTGGGGGTCCCATTGATTCTTATTGAGTTGGAATGGATGACCTTTGGGGGTTCCACTGATTCTCATTGAGTTGGGATGGATGACCTTTGGGGATCCCATTGACTCTGATGGGGTTGAGATGGATGACCTTTGGGGTTCCCCTGGAAGGAAGGCCAGCGTGCCGGGACCTTGGCTCTAGACTGCTTACTGCGAAATCCAAGGGGCGAAACAGTAACAGTCCACAGTCATGGCTACTGACGGCTGGCGGCAGCAACATTTTCCTGCATTGTTATTGTTTATTGTTTACTGGTTATTGTTGTGGTCTTGCTTCGAGGTTGGGGACGATGGGCTCTCTTTCTCTCTGAGATAATAATAATAATAATAATAATAATAATAATAATAATAATAATATATCCCATCATCCCCAAACGCCTCGCAAAGATACATGGCTTCGAGTTTCCGCTAAAGCCACGGCCACCTGCAAAAGGATTGCAAAGCCCATCATCCCCAGCCAGTAGTAGTCAAGAATAGTCCTTTGCATCTGGACCTCTGACCTGTGGATGATGGGTTGTGCAGTCCATAAAGCAGACTTGTTTTGCCTCTTATCCCTGGGATCATTTGGTATGGCTTTTAATAATAATAATAATAATAATAATAATAATAATAATAATAATAATAATAATTATTATTATTATTATTATTATTATTATTATTATTATTATTATTATTATTATTATTTAATCTGATTGTCATTATGGGATACTAATCCAACGGGGTATTATTGTGGGAGGGGATGATGGGCTTTGCTTCTCTCCTAGCATCGCTTGCCTTGTGATCCTGGCTTCGTTTGGAGCATTAATGGCACATGTTTGGTGACATAAGACATGTTAAGGTCATGGACTGCATGGAGCGCCGTTACCTTCCCGCTGAAGTGGTACCTATTGATCTACTCACATTTGCATGTTTTCAAACTGCTAGGTTGGCAGAAGCTAGGGCTGACAGCGGAAGCTCACGCCACTCCCCGGAATAATAATATAATAATAATAAACCTGCGACCTTTCGATTTATTATATATATTATATTATATTATATTATATTAATTATATATTACATTATATTATATATATTATTAAATATTTTACATATTTTGCATTATATATTACATAATATGTTATATTATATCTTATTATATTATGTTATATATTATATATTATTATATATAATATATATTATTATATATAATATATATTATATAATATATTATTGTGTTATTATATATATTATATATAATATATTATATTACATTATATTATTGGTTTTATATTTTATATATATTATATTATATATTATTATATGTTATTATATTATATATTATATATGTTATATTATATATTATTATATTATTATATTTTACATATTTTATATATTATTATGTTATATATATAATATATAATATATAATATATAATATATTGTTCTATAATAACACAATAATATATAATAATATATTATATATTATATATAAACATAATATTATATGTTATATTAAATATTATATATTGTTATATTTTACATATATTATATGTTATATGTTATATTAAATATTATTATATATTATTGTGTTTTTATATTATATATATATATTATATTATACATTATTTTATGTTATTATATTATATTATACTATATTGTACATGATTTTGGGGTGTTTGGGGGATGATGGGTCACCTCCGCGGTGATGCTTCTTTGGATGCCTTTCCTCGTCGCCATGGCGTCGGATGCAGGCTCGGCGTCTCCACGGCAACCGTCTCCAGGGCAACCGTGGCTTTAGATTGTTACTGTGCGGACATGGGTTTTGGTAACAGTCTACAGCCATGGTTGGCTCGGTGGACGCAAGAGCGGCGGAAGAGAAAGAAGACAGATCCGCATCCTGGAATGGTCTGATTGCAGAAGGGGGGCTCCTAAAGGTCATCTAGTCCAACCCCAGCCTGGCATCCCATTGAAACCACCCCCAAAAGATGCCAGGAAGGAGAGTCATGAAACAGTAAAGTTAGGAGGGACCCACCAAAGGCCATCTAGTCTGACCCTATTGTGTTTGTGCAATACTAAAATGTCTTCCCAAAAGATAACTGTATTCTTGGATCTTTGCACATGCTCAGAGGTTGGGGTTAGACCTTCGGAACTTTGCACAAGCTCAGAGGTTGGGGTTGGACCTTGGGAGCTTTGCACATGCTCAGAGGTTGGGGTTAGATTGTGGGAACTTTGCACATGCTCAGAGGTTGGGGTTAAACTTTGGGAACTTTGCACATGCTCAGAGGTTGGTGTTATTTATTTATTTATTTATTTATTTAAGAGTTTTTATATCCCGTTCTTCTCACATTATAGGTGATCAATATAAAATACATTAAAATATGTCAGCCCTTGCTAACTTTGCACATGCTCAGAGGTTGGGGTTAGCCCTTGGGGACTTTGCACATGCACCTGGATCTTCACACATGCTCAGGAAATGCATAATAATAATAATAATAATAACAATAACAACTTATTACCCTGGAGCCTCTGCACATACTCAGAGATCATAATGATGATGAGGATGTACTTATTACCACGAAACCTTTGCACATGCTCAAGTTGCAGTGAGTTCCAGAGATCATATTATTATTATTATTATTATTATTATTATTATTATTAACAACCTTGGGCTCTTTTCTCAGGCCCTCCTGTCTCTCACCGTCCTGTCTTTCCTTCCTTGGTGGTGGGTCAAACATGAAGGTTGTATGGCTATTATTATTATTATTATTATTATTATTATTGGCCATGACTCAATGATGCCAATGAGATGCCATTGAAGCCCTAATGGCCATTCCCTTTGCTGCCCTCTTGTGGACACAGGAATAGTTGCCCTTGCCTTGAGATTCTGATCTCTAATCCTTTGCTGCCATCCAGTGGTCAGGTAAGGAAGTGCATCCTTCAGCCATGGAGTGTGCCTCTCTGCTGCCATCATGTGGACATTGTGGAAAACTGCACCTCCATATTACAAAAATAAAATGTATTCTATTTCCCAAAAAGGAGGAAAACAAGAAATAATAAAGAAGGGAAGGTGGGAATAACAGAATGAAAGCAACATTATGTTTATGCCATTTATTTGGTGACATGTCTGTCAATGTGAACAAACGCATCATCCTGGGTGTAATTCCTTCCCATCAAGTGGTGGTCCCATCCTCCCCTTCCGCCTTGCTGAACTGGGCGAGGAAGGCAATGTATTCCTTCTTCTGCGGAGCAGCGGCTGGGACGAAGTGTCCCCCGGGGTGGAGGAGGGTCCGGGCCCCCTCGAAGTGGTCAGCCAGCTCCATGCTCATGTGGGCCGGGATGACCCGGTCGCTTTCCCCGACGACGTGGATGCTGGGTACTGCGATGGGGGCGTTGTAGTAGGCACGGTGGGGTCCGGCTTTGCTCTGGAAGCCGGCCACGAGGAGGGCGAAGCGGAAGGGGAAGCGGGGGTCTCCCCGCTGCTGGAGGGCGCAGAGGATGCCCACCAGGGCCGCCCCTTGGCTGAAGCCCATCAGCCCTGAGAAGGGGCCCCGCTCCGCAAAGGCCGACGCTACGGCTTCCAGGGATTCGTCCAGGCCGGAGCAGGACTCGGACTCCTCCAGCGCATTGAAGGTGCCGTCGGACGGGTTGGAGAACCACCAGCCTCTCGAACTTGGCTCCCCTGGAAGAAGAAGAAGACAAAGAGGGTGCACTTAGATGATGATGATGATAATAATAATAATAATAATAATAATAATAATAATAATAATAATAATGTTGATAATGATGATGTAGTTATTACTCTAAGACCTTTGCACATGCTCAGTTAGATCCAGAGATCATAATTATAATTGCAAAGTTCTCAGGGTAATAAGTACATAATAATAATAATAATAATAATAATAATAATAATAATAATATCTCTGGATTGAACTGTGTTTGAAACATTTTTTAGACAGATAGATAGGACGATGGGAGGATGAATGGATGGATAGATAGGCAAAGACACAGACAATAGGAAAATGGATGGATAGCTAGATAGACAAACAGACAAATGGATAGATAAATGGATAGATTGGGAGATAGATGGAAGATAGATACATAGATGGATGGATGGATAGATAGATAATCTATCTACCTGATAGACACATTGACAAATGGATGGATAGTGAGATTCAGAAATAGATAGACAGATAGGCAGGCAGACAGACAAACGGATGGATGGAGAAAGGGGCGAGGTAGATAAGAAGATCGGTGGATGGATGGATAGATAGGAGGATGGATGGACGGATGGACAGACGGATGGATAGATGGATGGATAGATGGACGAATGGATGGATAGATGGACGGACAGATGGAGGGACGGATGGATGAATGGACGGATAGATGGATGGACGGATGGATGGACGAACAGATGAATGGATGGACGGACAGATGGATGGATGGACAGATAGACGGACAGATAGACGGACGGATGGACAAATGTATGGATGGATGGATAGATGCATGGATAGGCAGTCAGGCAAACAGATGGAAAGATAGATGGATAGATAGGCAGACAGGCAAAGAAATGGATGGATGGAGAAAGGGGGAGTAGATAGATAGGAAGATGGATGGATAGATAGGTAGGTAGATAGATAAGATACATACATACATACATAGATGGATGGACAGATAGATTAGATAGATAGATATATAGATTGATGGACAGATAGATAATCTATAGATAATCTATCTACCTGATAGACAGATTGACAAATGGATGGATAGGAAGATAGATAGAAGGATGGATGGATGGATGGACAGATAGACGGATAGATGGACGGATGGACAAATGGTGGATGGACAAATGGATGACGGATAGGCAGACAGACAAATGGATAGATAGATGGATGGATAGATAGATAGATAGATAGATAGATAGATAGATAGATAGGCAGACAGACAAACAGATGGATGGATGGAGAAAGGAGGAGTAGATAGATAAGAAAGATGGATGTATAGATAGGTAGATAAGATACATACATACATACATACATACATACATACAGAGATGGATGGACAGACAGACGGATGGCTAGATAGATAGATAAATACATTAGATAGATATATAGATTGATGGACAGACAGATAGACAGATAATCTATAGATAGATAATCTATAATCTATCTATCTGATAGACACATTGACAAGTGGATGGATAGTGAGATTGAGAGATAGGTAGACAGAGAGGCAGACAGGCAGACGGATGGATGGACGGACAGACAGACAGGATACATAGATGGATAGATAATCTATCTATCGAATAGTTACATAAACAGATGGATAGTGAGATAGATAGACAGACAGAGAGAGAGAGAAGGGGAAGATAGACAAGAAGCTGGATGGATAGATAGGAAGATAGATAGATAGATAGATAGATAGATAGATAGATAGACACAGACCGACACATAGACAGACGGACGGATTAATGGATGGGTGAATGGATGGATAGATGGATGGACGGACTAATGGATGGATAGATGGACGGATAGATGGACGAATGGATGGATAGATGGATGGACGGACTAATGGACGGATAGATGAATAGATGGATGGATGGACGGATAGATGGATGGACGGACGAATGGATGGACAGATAGATGGACGAATGGATGGGTAGATGGATGGATGGACTAATGGATGGATAGATGGACGGATGGATGGACGGACGAAGGGATGGATGGACTAATGGATGGATGGATGGCTAGATAGAATAGAGAGATAGATACTTAGATGGATGAGAGATGGATATCATAGGTAGGTAGGTAGGTAGATATACAGGAAGATAGATAGATAGATAGGAAGACGGATCCCCCCCCCCCCCAAAAAACCTGATAGTATTCAAATGTGGGCATATCAGGTATGCATGCTAAATTTGGTCCCGATCCCTCATTGTTTGGCTTCACAGTGCTCTCTGGATGCAGGTGAACTACAACTCCCTCAAATCAGGGTGCATTTCCCCCAAAGACCTCCAGTATTTTATTGTTCATGAGGATTCTGCATACTTAGTGTGGTCAAGGACCATTATCAGTGGGGTACACAGTAAGGTTACAGTGAGCTACAACTTCTTGGTGCAGGGTGAACTACAACTTCCATCCTGTTGAGTTAGGCCCCCTGACCCTCCAGTAATATGTTTAGTTGCTGATCAATTCAGCAGAAAGGAGTAGGAAAGGGTTAAAGGAGAAGCAGTGGGCGGGGTTATGCAAATTCCACTCCTTGGGCCCGCCTCCGCCTCACCTGATTGGCTGCCGGCGGGGACCAAGTGAGGCGCGTCCAAGAATTCGAGCTGCGCATGCCCGCGGAGGGCTTTCCTCAGCGCCCCCGTACGAGCCCGGAAGATGGCGGCGTCCTGGCGATAGCCGTGAAGGCAGAGCAGCCGCAGTTCCCCGCTGCGGGCCGCCATTTTCCCCTGCTTCCGGTTACTGTACTGACGCACATCCGGTTCAAAAGCCCCGGGTTTCCTGAAACCTGCTCTCTACCCCCCTCCAGCGGCTGCGCCTGAGAACTGCAGCTCAAGGCATTGAATCCTTCGCTTTCCCTGACTCAGAGAAATAATAATAAAAAATAATATATAAAAATAATAAAAAATAGAAAAACAATCATTTATATTTATTATTATTTACAATGATTTATACTGATGTTCATTCATTCTTTCTTGACCATCTGTACCTAAAAAAATATTATTTGTTTTTACTAAATCAATGCAAAATCATCATTATACAATATATTTATTATTATTAATAATAAAAAATAGAAAAACAATCATTTATATTTATTATTATTTACAATAATTTATACTGATGTTCATTCTTTCTTTCTTGACCATCTGCACCTGAAAAAAATATTATTATTTTTTAAAAATATTAAAACAATGCAAAAGGAAATAAGTAATATCATTTATATATTATTATTATATGTATTTTTATTTACAATGATTTATATTGATGTTCATTCTTTCTTTCTTGACCATCTGCACTTGAAAAAAATATTTTTTAAATATTAAAACAATGCAAAAGGAAATAATATCATTTTATATTATTATTATTTGCTTTATGTTGATGTTCATTCATTCATTCTTGACCATCTGCACCTGAAAAAAATGTAATTTATTTTTATTAAAACAATGCAAAAGAATCATTATACAATATATTTATTATTAATAATAATAATGCTACCTCTGAGCATGTGCAGAGGACCCAGGGTAATATGTAAATAATAATAATAATAATAATAATAATAATAATAATAATAATAATAATAATAATATCATCTCTGGATTGAACTGCAACCTGAGCATGTGCAGAGGTCTCAGGGTAATAACATTATTATTATTATTATTATTATTATTATTATTATTATTATTATTATTTACATAATAATGTTATTACCCTGAGACCTCTGCACATGCTCAGGTTGCAGTTCAATCTAGATATATTATTATTATTATTATTATTATTATTATTATTAATTATTATTATTATTATTATTTACTTGCTAACTTGAGAACTTTGCATATGCTCAGAGGGTGCAGTTAGCTCCAGGAATCTTTGCACATGTTCAGGAAATAATAATAATAATAATAATAATAATAATAATAATAGTAAATAAATAAATATATTATCCATCTGAATATTAGGAAGAACTTCCTGACTATGAGAGCCGTTCAGCAGTGGAACTCTCTGCCGCGGAGTGTGGTGGAGGCTCCTTCTTTGGAAGCTTTTAAACAGAGGCTGGATGGCCATCTGTCGGGGGTGATTTGAATGCAATATTCCTGCTTCTTGGCAGAATGGGGATGGACTGGATGATGGCCCAGGAGGTCTCTTCCAACTCTTTGATTCTTTGATTCTATTTGGGATCACACATTTTTACAAATATACATGATGTTTGCCTCAGTGCGAGAAAGGTCTCAGTCTGTGAGAAGGCCTCCCAGTGTGAGGCAGACCTTAGTCTGTGAGAGAAGCCTCTGTGTGAGATACGAGGGGCATTCATTAAAGATTTCCCCTGACTCACTTCTGTTTATCACAGGACGCATTTCAATGGCTTCTCTGTGTAGTCTGACATGGTGGTTGTGAGAGTGGTCCAGCATTTCTGTATTCTCAAATAATAGGCCATGAAAATGAACAAAATGTGGCTACCAGTATTAAAAAAAACTCTCAAATTACAACAGCACAACAACAGAGAGGAAACAAACAAGGACATCTAACTACCTCTCAACAAAAGATTGCCCCAGACACTGCCAGGCCATTATATGCTAATCAAGATGGTCAGTTGAAACATTCACACCTAGCTCCAGTAGACAAGAGTCCTTTGTCCCACCCTGGTCATTCCACAGATATATAAAACCCCTTTTCCTAGTTCTAACAGACCTCACCACCTCTGAGGATGCTTGCCATAGATGCAGGTGAAACGTCAGGAGAGAATGCCTCTAGAACATGGCCATATAGCCCGAAAAAAACTACAACAACCCATTTTTTTCCAGTTGTAAGACCAAACAGGGCCTGTGTTGGATGGGGTCACACTCCCCCTTATTTATTTGTCGTGTCAGGACAACCAGTCAAATTACATTACATTTCTAACAGAACAAAGCAAACAAACAGACAAAACACAAAATGGGTGAGTTTAGTAGTTGGTTAAATGTCCTTTGACCAGTATCTGGCCCCTTGGAGTGCCTCTGGTGTTGCCGCAAGAAGGTCCTCCATTGCGCATCATGTGGCAGGGCTCAGGGTGCATTGCAGCAGGTGGTCAGTGGTTTGCTCTTCTCCACACTCGCATGTTGAGGATTCCACTTTGTGGCCCCATTTCTTGAGGTTGGCTCTGCATCTCGTGGTGCCAGAGCGCAGTCTGTTCAGTGCCTTCCAAGTCACCCAGTCCTCTGTGTGCCCAGGGAGGAGTCTCTCATCGGGTATCAGGCTGGGTTTGAGCCTGCCACTTTTGGACTCTCGCTTGCTGGGGTGTTCCAGCAAGTGTCTCTGTAGATCTTAGAAAACTATTTCTTGATTTAAGTCGTTGACGTGCTGGCTGATACCCAAACAGGGGATGAGCTGGAGATGTCACTGCCTTGGTCCTTTCACTATTGGCTGCTACTTCCCGGCGGATGTCAGGTGGTGCAATACCGGCTAAGCAGTGTAATTTCTCCAGTGGTGTAGGGCGCAGACACCCTGTGATAATGCGGCATGTCTCATTAAGAGCCACATCCACTGTTTTAGTGTGGTGAGATGTGTTCCACACTGGGCATGCATACTCAGCAGCAGAGTAGCACAGCGCAAGGGCAGATGTCTTCACTGTGTCTGGTTGTGATCCCCAGGTTGTGCCAGTCAGCTTTCGTATGATGTTGTTTCTAGCGCCCACTTTTTGCTTGATGTTCAGGCAGTGCTTCTTGTAGGTAAGAGCACAATCCAGAGTGACTCCCAGGTATTTGGGTGCGCTGCAATGCTCCAGTGGGATCCCTTCCTTCCCAGGTGTATGATATTGTTTCTAGCGCCCACTTTATCAGTTATTTATATGGTTCACAGTGGTCTCAGGAAGTTAGTGAAGGTACTGTGAGTCCCATCATCTGTGGTCCATCCTCCTCCAAACTGCTCCACGATGGAGAGTGGGTCATGGGGGCTCTGTGTGCCAAGTTTTGTCTTGACTGGTCATTAGATGAGTGTTGCAGAAGTCTTGGGAAGTGAGTGGAGATACTTGAAGTCCCATCATCCATTGTCTGTCCTCCTCGAAAGTGCACCAGGATGTAGACTGGGTCATGGGGGCTCTGTGTGCCAAGTTTGGTCTTGATCAGTCATTGGCGAGGGTCTCAGTGGTCTCAGGAAGTGAGTGAAGTGACTGCAAGTCCCATCATCCATCCCCAAATTTTTCCAAACCGCACCAGGATGTAGAGTGGGTCATGCGGGCTCTCTGTGCGAATGGTGATCCTGATCCATCACTGTTGGCAGTTGTAATGGTCTCAGGAAGGGAGCGCAGGTATTGCAAGTCCCATCATCCATGGTGCATTCTCGTCCAAAATTAGAAATTAGATCGGCCCCCTCCCTATACGGCTCCGGTCCAGCGTACCTGTCCGAACATATCTCCTTCTACATCCCACCTCGGAGTTTAAGATCTGGGGAGGCCCTGCTCTCGGCCCCGCCTCTGTCTCAAACACATTTGGCGGGGACGAGGGACAGGGCCTTCTCGGTGGTGGCTCCCCACCTGTGGAATTCACTTCCCAGGGAAATTAGGTCATCATCATCCCTCCTCACCTTTAGAAAGAAGGTTAAAACATGGATGTTTGAAATAATTAAATAAATAAACTCTTGTCTGTTGGGAGGCAAGTGTGAATGTTGCCATTGGCCAGCTTGATTAGCACTGAATGGCCTTGCAGCTTCGATGCTTGGCTGCCTGCTGCCTTGAAACATCAGGAGAGAATGCTTCTGGAACATGGCCAGGCAGCCCGGAAAACTCACAGCAACCCAATAATAATAATAATAATAATAATAATAATAATAATAATAATAATAATAATATTGTTCTGACTCAATTATGAAAAGCAGGGCTCTTCCTAAAGGCACTGCAGCCACTGGACACAAGGGGGCGGTGTTGCCTTGCAAATAATGAATGGGGAAAACAGGAAACTCTTATTTCAATATTATTATTATTATTGCTATTGTTACTATTATTATATTACACTGTACCATGATAATATTATTAATTATAATAGAATAATATAACAATTCTAATTGTTATATTATATTATAATTAATAATATTATCATGGTACAGTGTAATATAATAATAGTAACAATAGCAATAATAATAATATTGAAATAAGTAATAATATATATATAATTAATTATAATAAAATGATACAATAATTCTAATATAATTTATTAATACTATATTACCATATTATCTCCCCAAATGGAACTACAATAATAATAATAATAGTAATTATTGTTGTTGTTGTTGTTATTATTATTATATTACACTGTACTATAATAATATTATTAATTATAATATAATAATATAACCATTGTAATGGTTATATTATAATTAATAATATTATTATTAATATTAGTAATAAAATATATATAATTATAATAAAATAATAATAATTCTAATTTATTTATTTATTTTATTTGCTTTATTTCTATACCACATTTTTCAGCCCTTAACAGGCTGAATTAATATAGTATAGGCTTAATTAATATAATATAGTATTAATTTATTAATACTATCATCATAGTATTAATTTATTAATACTATCATCATAGTATTAATATTAAATTATAATATTATAATATTATATTATAATATTATAATCATAGTATTAATATTAATATTATCATAATATTAATTTATTAATACTATATTATCATATTATCATATTATCTCCCCAAATGGAACTATAATAATAATAGTAATTATTATTGTTATTATTATTATAGTCCTATTTGGGGAGATAATATGATAATCTTCATGAAGATGGCGGGATCATCCCCAAAGCTGGCGATAGGCTCACCTCTTTGGCCCCTTTGGCCGCCTTCTGTGGCTGATGGGAGCGGTGGTTGACGGTCCAAGGGCCGAGTGACTGAGCCGCATAGAAGTCCATGGGATATGTCTCTTGCCATTCAACTTGCTGCAGTGCCACAGCCGCCTGCAACGAGAAGCATCCTTTTCAGTGCTTTAGTACATGCTTGTTGAATAAATACATAATAATAATAATAATAATAATATGGATTGAAGTTGGTGTAATGGAACTGCATTATGTGCGTGCCTACCTCGTAGGGAGTGAGGAGGGGCCTGGGGAAGGCTTCCCCCCAGTCGATGGAGAGCCGAGGGCAGGCAACCTGGACCCACCTGCGGAGGGAAAGGAGGTGGGAGCGAAGACCTCCCCACACAACCCCATAAGAGAGAGGAAGGGGAGGATGGGGTTTGTAGTCCCGCCCGGCCTGGACTCACGCTCCGACATCCGGGAAAAGGCCCAGCTTCTGGGGGAAGATCTCCGAGAGGAGCACACGCAAGAAGGGGCGCCCCAGGGACTCCAGCACTGACTCCAGGTGCTGCAAACAGAGGGAGGAAGAGGGGGAAAAGAGGGGGAATATATATATATATATACACACACACACCACCTGGATTGCCAAAATTTGCCCAAGCTATACATACATACATACATACATATATTCATACATGTATTTATATACAAACATATAAATATATACACACACACACTCATACATGCATACACACACACACACACACATATATACACACACATACATAGTCATATACACATACATGTATATACATACCAGACATATACTTATACATGCATATACACGTACACATACACACCAATACACATATATACGCATACAGTCATATACACATATACAAACCACACACACTCTCATTCATGCATATACACATATACACACATACACACACACACAACTATGCATATATATCAGGCAAGGGCAAAAGGTGTTTTGGACTTCAACTCCCACCTGGATTGCCAAAATTTGCCCAAGCTATGCATACATACATATACTCATACATGCATAAACACATATACAAACGTACTTATACATATTATACACACACACACACACATACTCATACATGCATATACACACACATATATAATCATATACACATATATATACATAACCACACAGACACATACACACCAATACACATACTCATACACACACATATATACATAGTCATACACATATACACATACATGCCATATACACACACATATATATATACACACACATACATAGTCATGTACACATATATATACATAACCACACAGACACATACTTATACATGCATATACACGTACACATACACACCAATACACATATATACGCATAAAGTCGTATACACATATACATACCACACACACTCTCTCATTCATGCATATACACATATTATATATATATATATATATATATACACACACATACTTAGTCATACACACATATACACACAAACCACACAGACACTTAGATACTTATACATGCATATACAGATGCACATACCTACCAATACATACATAAATATATATATGCACAGTCATATACACATGTACATACATACCACGCACACACATGTACATACATACCACACACACTCACACACACACACACATATAGTCTTACACACATATACACATATATGTATACCCATATAGATATGTGTGTACACATACTCATACATATATATACATATATACACACACACACATATACACACACACGCATACCTATACATACTCATACATACACATGCAAACATACCTACATATACATGTATACATGCACATGCATACACATGTACACACATACATGCATATACATACACACACACACATGCATCTATCTATCTCTTTAAAGGGACAAAGATGGAGGGATAGATGCAACGAGGCTGGGTGGGGGGGCTGTACCTGGAGGATGGCGGGGGAGCCCTGCCGGCCCAAGGAGCCCAGGATCAGGCCCCACATCCCGGCCCCAGAGGCCTGCCTCACCGCCCTCTCCCGGGACTCCGCCATGCGCCGGTGGGAGAAGCCCTCCTTCGAGAAGACCTTGCTGTATGGGTCGTACCTGTGGGGTAACGAGGGGAGAAGGTGGGGTCGGGGAGGGGCACAACAGCCCTATCTCGGCTGCCTTTCTCCCACCCATCCCTCTAGATCTCTCATTGATCTATCTACCTACCTACCTATCTACCTACCTAACCTCCATCCCTCTATCCTATTTATCTATCCTCCATCCTTCTATCCTATCTGTGTCCATCCCTCTATCTCTCTATCCTATCTATCCTTCTACTTCTCTACTCCATCTACCTTCCATCTGTCCATTCCTCTATAACTCTATCCTATCTATCTATCCTCCATCCTTCTATCCTACCTATCTATCCATTCCTCTATATCCACTGTCAGTCTATCTAACCACCCATCCATCCATCTCTCATTCATCTATCTATCTACCTATGCTATCCATCCATCCATCCATCCCTCTATATCTCTATCCTATCTGTCTATGCCATCCATCCATCCATTTCTCATCTATCTATCTATCTATCTATCTATCTATCTATCTATCTATCTATCTATCTATCTATCCTATCTATACTATCCATCAATCTCTCATTCATCTGATAGACAGATCAATCATCTCTCCATCCATCCATCCATTTCTCATCCATCTATGTATCTGCCTACCTACCTATGCTATCTATCTATGCTATCCATCCATCTCTCCATCTATCCATCCCTCCATATCTCTATCCTAACTATCTGTCTATGCTATCAATCCATCTTTCATCCATCAATCTCTCACCCATCTATGTTATCTATCTATGCATCTATCTATACTATCAATCGATCCCTCATCCATCTATCTGACATACAGATCAATCATCTTTCCATCCATGAATCCATCCTTTTATATCTCTATCCTATCTGTCTGTCTGTCATCTATCCATTCATCTATCTCCTACCTACCTACCTATGTTATCCATCCATCCACCTCTCATCCATCCATCTATCCACATCTATCTGTCCATCCATCTACCCATCTCTCATTTATCCATCCATCATCTACCTATCCACCTATCTATATATGCTATCCATCTCTCACTTATCCATCCCTCTATGTATGTATGTATGAATGAACGAATCTATCTATCTATCCATCCATCCCTCCCTCCCTCCCTCCCTCCCTCCCTCCCTCCCTCCCTCCATCCATCCATCTATCTATCTATCTATCTATCTATCTATCTATCTATCTATCTATCTATCCATCCATCCATCCCTCCTTCCACCTACCTACCTACCTATCCATCCCTCTATCTATCTATCTATCTATCTATCTATCTATCTATCTATCTATCTATCTATCCATCCATCCATCCATCCATCCATCCATCCATCCATCCATCCCTCTATCCATCCCTCTATCCATCCATCCATCCATCCATCCATCCATCTATCCATCCATCCATCCATCTATCTAGCTATCTAGCTATCCATCCCTCCCTCCCTCTATCCATCTCTCCCTCCCTCCTTCCACCTACCTACCTACCTATCCATCCATCCCTCTATCCATCCATCTATCTATCCATCCCTCTATGTATCTATTTATCTATCCATCCATCCCTCCCTCCCTCCCTCTATCCATCCCTCCCTCCTTCCACCTACCTACCTACCCATCCCTCTATCTATCCATACATCCATCCATCCATCTATCCACCTATCTATCTATCCATCCATCTATCCATCCCTCTATCTATCTATCTATCTATCTATCTATCTATCTATCTATCTATCTATCTATCTATCTATCCCTCCCTCCATCCATCCATCCATCCCTCCCTCCTTCCACCTACCTACCTACCTACCTACCTATCCATCCCTCTATCTATCTATCTATCTATCTATCTATCTATCTATCTATCTATCTATCTATCTGTGCCATCCATCCATCCATCTCTCATCTCTATCTCTCATTAGAAAGCTCAAACATTTCTCCATCCACCCACCCCTCTATTTCCTTATCCTATCTTTCTATCTTTCTATCTTTCTATCTTTCTATCTTTCTATCTTTCTATCTTTCTATCTATCTATCTATCTATCTATCTATCTATCTATCTATCTATCTATCTATCTATCTATCTATCTATCTATTCATCGCTCTATTGTAGGGGTTGGGCTAGATGGCCCTCGGGAATCCCTTTCTAGGATTCCAGATGGATTGATACAGATCTTCCCATCCTTCCCCTATCCTTTGACTCTCCCGCCTGCCTCTGCTCACAAACCCAAACTCAAAGCAGAACCCGCCCGACTGTGCTCCTCGCACGAGGGATGAGCCCCCCTGGCCCCGCCCGCCCTCCCTTTCTCCTCGCACGCTTGTGATTTGTGTCCCGAAAGGGAGCGGGGCGGCCTCCCATCCCATAAAGCTGCCTCCCGGTAACAAACGGCCTGATCGGGGATGGAGGCGCAAAGGAGCGCAGGCAGCAGGCATCCTCGTCGCTCGCTCGCTCATTCGTTCGTCCTCCTCATCTCCTCATCACCCTTTTTATGGCTTCCTCAGCCGGGAGGGATTTAATGGGAGCCCCATAATCATCAAGGAGGCATATTTCCCCGGGGAAGCTGTCAAAACGTTTGCGTTCGGAGGGAGTTAAATGGCAGCTGCTCCCCAAACACACCTTCCTGGCCCGACAGAACGCTGGCGCCGTCTCTCTCGACATCGAGGGATCCCCCCGCCACAACGTCACCTTGAACGTTTGCCCCAGTGATCCTGGCCCCTCATACTTCACACAGAGGCTTCTCTCACAGACTAAGGCTTGCCTCACACTGTGAGGCCTTCTCACAGACTGAGACCTTTCTCCCACTGAGGCAAACGTCTCCTTTGGTGTGCATCCTGTGATAAATAGAAGTGGGTCAGGGGAAATCTTTGATGAATGCCCCTCGTATCTCACACAGAGGCTTCTCTCACAGACTAAGGCCTGCCTCACACTGGGAGGTCTTCTCACAGACTGAGACTTTTCTCCCACTGAGGCAAACGTCTCCTTTGGTGTGCATCCTGTGATAAATAGAAGTGGGTCAGGTGAAATCTTTAATGAATGCCCCTCGTATCTCACACAGAGGCTTCTCTCACAGACTAAGGCCTGCCTCAAACTGGGAGGCCTTCTCACAGACTGAGACTTTTCTCCCACTGAGGCAAACGTCTCCTTTGGTGTGCGCCCTGTGATAAATAGAAGTGGGTCAGGGGAAATCTTTAATGAATGCCCCTCGTATCTCATACAGAGGCTTCTCTCACAGACTAAGGCCTGCCTCAAACTGGGAGGCCTTCTCACAGACTGAGACCTTTCTCCCACTGAGGCAAACTTCTCCGTTGGTGTGCGTCCTGTGATAAATAGAAGTGGATCAGAGGAAATCTTTAATGAATGCCCTTAGTGTCTCACACAGAGGCTTCTCTCACAGACTAAGGCCTGCCTCACACTGGGAGGCCTTCTCACAGACTGAGACCTTTCTCCCACTGAGGCAAACTTCTCCGTTGGTGTGCGTCCTGTGATAAATAGAAGTGGATCAGAGGAAATCGTTAATGAATGCCTCATATCTCATACAGAGGCTTCTCTCACAGACTAAGTTCTGTCTCACACTGTGAGGCCTTCTCACAGACTGAGACCTTTCTCCCCACTGAGGCAAATGTCTCCTTTGGTGTGCGTCCTGTGATAAATAGAAGTGGGTCAGGATAAATCTTTAATGAACGCCCCTCATATCTCACACAGAGGCTTCTCTCACAGACTAAGGCCTGCCTCACACTGTGAGGCCTTCTCACAGACTCATTGTCCTTTCCTACTCTGGTCGTCATTGTCTTTTGTCCATCTGCCAGCCTACCCGAAGGCCTGGTCCCAAATCCAGGTTTTTAACTTCCTCCTGAAGGAGAGGAGGGATGTTGTTGATCTAATTTCCCCGGGGAGCGCATTCCACAGGCGACGGGCCACCACTGAGAAGGTCCTGTCCCTCGTCCCCACCAGTCTCACTTGTGATACTATCATTATTATTGTTATTATTATTTATGCAGTATAGTAATATAATATTACCATTGTTGTACATATTATTATTGTATTATAATAATAAAATATTATCATCAGTATACTTATTATTATTAATGTATTATTAAAATATATTACCATGTTTATATTATTATTAATGTATATAATAATATATTATCATCAGTATATTTATTATTATTAATAATGTATTAAAATATATTATTACAATGTTTATATTAGTAATGTTTTATAATAAAATATTATCATCGTTATATTTATTATTATTATTAATGTATTATTAAAATATATTATTACCATGTTTATATTATTAGTAATGTATTATAATAATATATTATCATCGTTATATTTATTATTATTAATGCATTATTAAAATATATTATCATGTTTATATTATTAGTAATGTATTATAATAATAAAATATTATCATCAGTATATTTATTATTAATGTATTATTAAAATATATTATTACCATGTTTATATTATTAGTAATGTATTATAATAATAAAATATCATGATCATTATATTATTATTAATGCATTATTAAAATATATTATTACCATGTTTATATTATTATTAATGTATTATAATAATATATTATCATCGTTATATTTATGATTATTTATGTAATATTATAATATTATCATCAATATTTTTATTATTATTATGTATAGAAAGAAAAACCCCAAATACCTGTAAGCGGGGATGCTGGGGTTTGCAATCATGATGGACTCCAAGTGGAAACGGCCATCTCCCAAATACCTGCCATTGGAAAATCAATGAGAGGGGGTGATGGGTGTTGCAATTACATTAAAAAAAAGAGAAGAAACTTGTATTATTTATTCCTCTCTATTTGCCCCTTCCACAGCACATTAAGCATCCCCATTATCGGCAATAATTAGGTGTCTCGTACGTCGCGGCCTCCATCCGTCTTCCCCAAATGGGAAATAAAATAGAATAAAACACAATAAAATAAATGCAAACCTCCCTCCCTTGAGAGGAATGATGGGATTGAGAGTGCTTTGCCCTTGGCTCAGATCCCAAGGAACCCCCGGGACGGGGACCTGTCACTCACACGATGGCGTCGGTGTTGCTAGGCAACCGGGGGGAGGTGCATCCCAGGATCTCCCCCGGCGACAGAGGTTTGCATTGCGGGATTTGGACGCCGTATTCCGGAGCCAGGTCCCGAGCGGCCGCCTGCAGAATAATACACACATACATATATATCTATGCGTTGCATTTCTGCAATCTCTGGAGGTTTTCAAGCTGAGGCCAGATGGCCATCTGTCGGGAGGGATTAGATGGTGTCCTCAATTTACGGCGGAAATTCGGGTGCACCCTTCCTAGGGTCCATGAGGTCTTCTGGATCCAGGGACATAATGTTAATATAATATATAATATTACATTATGTTATTATAACAACATATTATATTACAATATGTTAAGAGTCTCTGAGGTCATTTGGATCCAGGAAATTATATATATATATATATATATATATATATATATATATATATATTATATTATATTATATTATATTATATTATATTACATTATATTAGGGGTCTATGGGGTCTTCTGAATCCAGGGACATTATACTGATATGATATGATGTAGTAATGTAATGTAATATAATATAATATAATATAATATAATATAATATAATATAATATAATATAATATAAATAATATGCGATTGTATTATAATAATAAAATATTATATTGTATAGTATTACATTATATTAGAGTCTATGAGGTCTTCTGAATCTGGGGTCATTATATTATTATTATTTATTATTATTATATTATATTATTAATATTATTAATATTCATATTAATATTATATTAATAATATTATGTTATTATTAATATTATTATATAATATTATATAATATTATATTATTATATAATATTATTATTATTATTATTATTAATAATAATAATAATAATAATAATAATATGGTATTGTATTATAATAATAAAATATTATGTTGTATTACATTACATTATATTAGGGTCTGTGGTCTTCTGAATCTGGGGACATTATATATAATATAATGTAAATAATATGGAATTGTATTATAATAATAAAATTATATTAATATAATAAATAATAATAATGATTTGTATTATAATAATAAAATATTATATCACATTATATTTTATTGGGGTCTGAGGTCTTCTGAATCCAGGGACATTATATTAATATAATAATAATAATAATAATAATAATAATAATATGGAATTGTATTATAATAATAAAATATTATAGTTTATTACATTAGGGTCTCTGAGGTCTTCTAAAACTGGGGACATAATATAATTGCCAGTAGGCTGAGAATTGCGGTATATAAGCGTAATAAATAAATAAATAAATAATATATTATTATAAGAAAATATTATACTACATTATATTGCGGTCTCTGAGGTCTTCTGAATCCAAGGACATTATATTAGAATCTATGAGGTCCTCTGAATCTAGGGACATTACATTAATATAATAATGTTATTATTATATTATTATAATATATAAAATATTATATTATAATTATAATTATATTACATTAGGATCTATGAGGTCTTCTGAATCCGGGGACATATAATATAATACATATTTTTATATTAATATAATATTATAATAATAAAATATTATATTATATTATATTAGGATCTATGAGGTCTTCTGAAACCAGGGACATATAATATAATATAATATAATATAATATAATATAATATAATATAATATAATATAATATAATATAATATAATATAATATAATATAATATAAATTTTTATATTAATATTATATTATAATAATAAAATATTATATTACATTACATTAGGTTCTCTGAGACCTTCTGAATCTGGGGGTATTTGCATATTCGTAACGAGGCCCGTCGGAAGCCTTTACCTGGAGGGCGGAGAGGAACTGGACGGTGCTAACCAGGGCCAGCCTGGACCCGGGGTCAAAGTTGAAGCGGATGGAGTCCACAAAATGGCCCGCGTCCACCTGGATGTCCACAAAGACGTATAGCATCTGCAGGCCTCGCGTGGCGTCGATCGGGACTGTTTTTTGGGGATGGAAATAGGAGGAAATGACTGTGTTTCCATCCAGGTTTCTAGTCCACATGGAGTATGTTTTGTCCCATTATAACTGAGGCTGGCTGGATGAGTGGGGGGGCTCTTGGGGAGAATATTTTTGGACTGTTTTGATACCACTAAATAGTTCCCTCCTTGGGATGGTTTTGTTTGTATCGTTCTTCCTTTCCTTCTTCATCCTTTCTTTTCTCCCTTCCCTCCATCTCTCCCTTCTTCCATTCCTCCCTTCACTCTCTTCCTCCTTCTCTACCTACAGCTTTCTCTTCCCTCCATCCTTTCGCTCTTTCTTTTCTATTCCTCCCCTCCCTCCTTCTGTTCCTTCTCTCTCTTCCCTCCCGTTCCCTCCTTCCTTCCTTCCTTCCTTCCTTCCTTCCTCTTTTCTCTCCTTTTTCCTTCTTTCTTTTCCCTCTCTTCTGCTCCTTTATACTTTGCTCCCATGCCTCTTTTCCTTTTTTCCTCCCTTTCCTTTCTCTTCCTTTCTTTTCCTTTCTCTCCCTCTTTTCCCTTCCCACTCCTTTCTTCCCTTCTCTTCCATCTTTCCTCTCTCCTTCCTTTCTTCCTTTATCTTTCTTTCCTCCCTTCCCTTTTCATTCCTTCCTCCTTTCTTTCCATACCTTTAATCCGCTTCCTGTCTTTCTCTTCCCGCTCTTTCCCTCCCTTCCTGTATCTCTTCCTTCCATCTTTCTTGCTCTTTCTCTTCCCCTCGCTCCTTTCTTCCTCCCTTCATATCTTTTTTTCTCATTCCTTCCCTCCCCTTATTTTTCCTTCTCTTTCTTCCCTTCTGTATTCATTCCTCCTCTCCTTCCTCTTATTTTTCCTTCCTTCCTTCTTTCCTTCCCTTCTCATCCCTTCCTCCTCTCATCCCTCCCTCTTATTTTTCCTTCTCTTTCTTTCCTTCCCTACTCATGCTTTCCTTCTCTTCCTATTTTTCCTTCCCTTTTCATTCCTTCGTCTCCTTCCTCCCTTCCCTTATTTTTCCTTCACTCTTTCCTTCCCTTTTCATTCCTTCCTCCTCTCCTTCTTTCCTTCCCACTTATTTTTCCTTCTCTTTCTTCCTTCCTTCCCTTCTCCTTCCTTCCTTCCCTCTTATTTTTCCTTCTCTTTCCTTCCCTTCTCATGCCTTCCTCCTTTCTTCCCTCTCTCTCATTTTTCCTTCTTTCTTTCCTTCTCTTCTCATTCCATCCTCCTCTCCTCTCCTTCCTTCCCACTATTTTTCCTTTTTTCCTTCCCTTTTCATTCCTTCCTCCTTCTCCTTCCCTCTTATTTTTCCTTCTCTTTCTTCCCTTCCCTTCTCCTTCCGTCCTCCTTTTTTCCTTCCCTTATTTTTCCTTCTCTTTCTTTCCTTCCCTTTTCATTCCATCCCCCTCTCCTTCCTTCCTTATGTTTCCTTCTTTCTTTCCTTCCCTTTTAATTCCTTCCTCTTCTCCATCATTCCCTCTTATTTTTCCTTCTCTTTCTTTCTCTTCTCCTTCTTCCTTCCTCCTCTCCTTCCTTTCCTCATATCTTTCTTTCTTTCCTTCCCTTCTCATTCCTTCCTCCTCTCCTTCCCTCCCCCTTATTTTTCCTTCTTTCTTCCCTTCTGTATTTATTCCTTCTCTCCTTCCTCTTATTTTGCCTTCTCTTTCTTTCTTTTCCTTCTCACCTCTTCCTCCTCTCCTTCCTTTCCTCACCCTTATTTTTCCTTCTCTTTCTTTCCTTCCCTTTTCATTCCTTCCTCCTCTCCATCCTTCCCACTTATTTTTCCTTCTCTTTCTTTCCTTCCCTTCTCACCCCTTCCTCCTCTCCTTCCTTCCCTCCCTCTTATCTTTCCTTCTCTTGCTTTCTTTCCTCCATTCCTCCTCTCTCTTCCCTCCCTTCTTTCCCTCCCTATTCCTTCCACTTTTCCCTCCCTCTGTTCCTATATCTCTTTCCCTCCCTCCCTCTTTTTCTCTCTCTTCCTCGCTCCCCTCTTTTCTCTCCGCCACCTGCACGGAAAGTGGGTCAAGGGCTCCTCCTTGGATTCCTCTCCCTTTTCACTCCAAAACTTCCCCCTCTTTTTTTATATAAAAAATCCTAAATGATATAATAAAAATAATATATTTCCCCCCCTTCGTCTCCTCCTTTCTCTCAAAACAATGCATCAAAACTCCTTTGCACCATCTCCCTCCATAAGCAACGAGATGGGGATGATGGGGGATATAATCCAAATACTTTTTTTGGGGAGGGGGGGTTTACAAAAAATACCCCCATCTTCCTAGTAATAAACTCTGGATCCACCTTAAAATTAAAAAAAAAATCCCATTCTTTTCCAATGTTATTTTGAGCCAGATTCCATCCTGGTTGGACTTCAAAGGGATGCAGAAGCGGCAGCAGCAGCATTTGGGACATCCTCGCTGTTTCCATGGCAACGGGATCCTGGGTACCAAAGGGAGGGATGCAGGGAAGGATGCTCTCTCTCTCTCACACTCACTTTAATCCCCCCCCCCACCCAATTTTTTTTTCGTATTCCTCGTATTCATTCCCGGTATGCACTGGGGATGATGGGACTTGCAATCCTATGGGGACAAGGTCTGTTGGAACTGACCGCTGGCTCACTGACCGAGGCAGCTGTGTCCGTAATGGACCAAGAAGTCGGCCCCCAAGGCCTTGGCGGTGAAGTCGTCCACGCAACAAGCCCCATAAGTGACGTCCCCCATAATGATGGCCTCGGCACCTGTGAATCTGGAAAAAGAAGAGACGAGAGCATGCGCAGAGTGCGCTTCATGGGAGGAATAGGCTTCCTGCCTCAGTTTCCCCTCTGCAGAATGGGAATAACATTAAATCCAACTATAGGGAACTCTTTCGGCCTCTGTAGAATCGGAATAATAATATATCCAAGTATAATGACCTTAATGGCAATGGACTGCTTTCGGCCTCAGTTTCCCCATCTGAGGAATGGGAATAATATTATATCCAACTATAGGGATCACTTTTGGCCTCAGTTTCCCCATCTGCACAATGGGAAAAATATTATATCCAAGTATAATGACCTCAATGGCTAAGGGCTGTTTTGGGCCTCAGTTTCCCCATCCGAGGAATGGGAATAATATTATATCTAACTATAGGGATCTCTTTTGGCCTCAGTTTCCCCATCTGCAGAATGGGAAAAATATTACATCCAATTATAGTGACCTTAATGGCAAAGGACTGCTTTCGGCCTCAGTTTCCTCATCTGCAGAATGGGAATAATATTATATTCAAGTATAATGGTCTCGATGGCAAAGGGCTGCTTTCGGCCTCAGTTTCCTCATCTGCAGAATGGGAATAATATTATATCCAAGTATAATGGTCTCAATGCAAAGGACCGCATTTGTTTTCAAGGTACTCACGACGACAAGAGCATTTTTATATATATAGATTGCATGAAGTACAATAAAATTATATATTTTATATTACATATAATATTACTAATAATATTACAATATAATGGTATAGTACAATATAGTAATATTTAATACTGATATTGTACTATGCTAATAATATAATATATTGTATGTATATATATATCTTGTAAGCCACTCTGAGTCCCCTTCGGGGTGAGGAGGGCGGCATATAAAGGTCGTAAATAATAAATAAATAATGGCAAAGGGAGGCTTTTGGCCTCAGTTTCCCCATCCGTAAAATGGGAAAAATATTACAATTTATTATAATGACATTAATGGCAAGGGACTGCTTTGGGCCTCAGTTTCCCCATCTGAGGAATGGGAATAATATTATATCCAAGTATAATGACCTCAATGGCTAAGGGCTGTTTTGGGCCTCAGTTTCCCCATCCGAGGAATGGGAATAATATTATATCTAACTATAGGGATCTCTTTTGGCCTCAGTTTCCCCATCTGCAGAATGGGAAAAATATTACATCCAATTATAGTGATCTTAATGGCAAAGGACTGCTTTTGGCCTCAGTTTCCCCATCTGCAGAATGGGAATAATATTATATCCAAGTATAATGGTCTCAATGCAAAGGACCGCATTTGTTTTCAAGGTACTCACGACGACAAGAGCATTTTTATATATATAGATTGCATGTGATATTACTAATAATATTACAATATAATGGTATAGTACAATATAGTAATATTTAATACTGATATTGTACTATGCTAATAATATAATATATTGTATGTATATATATATCTTGTAAGCCACTCTGAGTCCCCTTCGGGGTGAGGAGGGCGGCATATAAAGGTCGTAAATAATAAATAAATAATGGCAAAGGGAGGCTTTTGGCCTCAGTTTCCCCATCCGTAAAATGGGAAAAATATTACAATTTATTATAATGACATTAATGGCAAGGGACTGCTTTGGGCCTCAGTTTCCCCATCTGAGGAATGGGAATAATATTATATCCAAGTATAATGACCTCAATGGCTAAGGGCTGTTTTGGGCCTCAGTTTCCCCATCCGAGGAATGGGAATAATATTATATCTAACTATAGGGATCTCTTTTGGCCTCAGTTTCCCCATCTGCAGAATGGGAAAAATATTACATCCAATTATAGTGATCTTAATGGCAAAGGACTGCTTTTGGCCTCAGTTTCCCCATCTGCAGAATGGGAATAATATTATATCCAAGTATAATGGTCTCAATGCAAAGGACCGCATTTGTTTTCAAGGTACTCACGACGACAAGAGCATTTTTATATATATAGATTGCATGTGATATTACTAATAATATTACAATATAATGGTATAGTACAATATAGTAATATTTAATACTGATATTGTACTATGCTAATAATATAATATATTGTATGTATATATATATCTTGTAAGCCACTCTGAGTCCCCTTCGGGGTGAGGAGGGCGGCATATAAAGGTCGTAAATAATAAATAAATAATGGCAAAGGGAGGCTTTTGGCCTCAGTTTCCCCATCCGTAAAATGGGAAAAATATTACAATTTATTATAATGACATTAATGGCAAGGGACTGCTTTGGGCCTCAGTTTCCCCATCTGAGGAATGGGAATAATATTATATCCAAGTATAATGACCTCAATGGCTAAGGGCTGTTTTGGGCCTCAGTTTCCCCATCCGAGGAATGGGAATAATATTATATCTAACTATAGGGATCTCTTTTGGCCTCAGTTTCCCCATCTGCAGAATGGGAAAAATATTACATCCAATTATAGTGATCTTAATGGCAAAGGACTGCTTTTGGCCTCAGTTTCCCCATCTGCAGAATGGGAATAATATTATATCCAAGTATAATGGTCTCAATGCAAAGGACCGCATTTGTTTTCAAGGTACTCACGACGACAAGAGCATTTTTATATATATAGATTGCATGTGATATTACTAATAATATTACAATATAATGGTATAGTACAATATAGTAATATTTAATACTGATATTGTACTATGCTAATAATATAATATATTGTATGTATATATATATCTTGTAAGCCACTCTGAGTCCCCTTCGGGGTGAGGAGGGCGGCATATAAAGGTCGTAAATAATAAATAAATAATGGCAAAGGGAGGCTTTTGGCCTCAGTTTCCCCATCCGTAAAATGGGAAAAATATTACAATTTATTATAATGACATTAATGGCAAGGGACTGCTTTGGGCCTCAGTTTCCCCATCTGAGGAATGGGAATAATATTATATCCAAGTATAATGACCTCAATGGCTAAGGGCTGTTTTGGGCCTCAGTTTCCCCATCCGAGGAATGGGAATAATATTATATCTAACTATAGGGATCTCTTTTGGCCTCAGTTTCCCCATCTGCAGAATGGGAAAAATATTACATCCAATTATAGTGATCTTAATGGCAAAGGACTGCTTTTGGCCTCAGTTTCCCCATCTGCAGAATGGGAATAATATTATATCCAAGTATAATGGTCTCAATGCAAAGGACCGCATTTGTTTTCAAGGTACTCACGACGACAAGAGCATTTTTATATATATAGATTGCATGTGATATTACTAATAATATTACAATATAATGGTATAGTACAATATAGTAATATTTAATACTGATATTGTACTATGCTAATAATATAATATATTGTATGTATATATATATCTTGTAAGCCACTCTGAGTCCCCTTCGGGGTGAGGAGGGCGGCATATAAAGGTCGTAAATAATAAATAAATAATGGCAAAGGGAGGCTTTTGGCCTCAGTTTCCCCATCCGTAAAATGGGAAAAATATTACAATTTATTATAATGACATTAATGGCAAGGGACTGCTTTGGGCCTCAGTTTCCCCATCTGTAAAATGGGAATAATATTACATCCAATTATATCGATCTCAATGGAAAAGGACTGCTTTCAGCCTCAGTTTCCCTATCTGCAGAATGGGAATAATATTATATCCAATTATAATTATCTTAATGGCAAAGGACTGCTTTCAGCCTCAGTTTCCCATCTGTAAAATGGGTATAATATTACATCCAATTATAACGATCTCAATGCAAAGGACTGCTTTGGGCCTCAGTTTCCCATCTGTAAAATGGGAATAGTATTACAACCAATTATAATGATCTCAATGGCAACGGGCTGCTTTCGACCTCAGTTTCCCCATCTGTAAAATGGGAATAATATTATATCCAAGTATAATGTTCTCAAAGGAAAAGGACCGCTTTCGGCCTCAGTTTCCCCATCTGCAGAATGGGAATAATATTATATTCAAGTATAATAGTCTCATTTTTTTTTTTTTTTTAGAATTTGCAAGTTCCTTTTTGTGTGTTTTATTATTGTTGGTCACACCTTGTGTTGTGAGAGGTTTTGTTGCCAAATTTGAGGTCATTTGGCCCCATAGTTTTTTTGTTTTTAAGGTACTCACGACGACAAGTGCATTTTTATATATATAGATTACATGTAACATTACTAATAATATTACAATATAATGGTATAGTACAATATAGTAATATTTAATACTGATATTGTACTAAGCTAATAATATAATATATTGTAAGTATATGATCTTGTAAGCCACTCTGAGTCCCCTTCGGGGTGAGAAGGACACCATAGAAATGTCGTAAATAATAAATAAATAATGGCAAAGGGCTGCTTTTGGCCTCGGTTTCCCCATCTGTAGAATAGAATAATATTATATCCAAGTATAATTATCTCAATGGCAAAGGATGGCTTTCGGCCTCAGTTTCCCCATCTGCAGAATGGGAATAATATTGCTTCCAAGGGACCTGAGGAGTCGCAAAGCCATAAAAACGAAGGGGAAATGAAGGGTAAAACCCCATTCCTCCCTCCTCTGGCAAAAAATGGCTGCAAAAGGAGAAAGCAAGGAGAGCAACCGGGGTGAAGCGATGCCATCCTGATTCAACTGGAGTGTGCTAATCCGCCTCTTCAATTGGAGAAAGCTGTTTGCAATTCGGAGGGATTAGGCACCCGCTCATCAAAGCGGATCCTGAACGGCAGGGAAAAGGCACGGGAAAGGCCAAAGTGGGGCAAAGGGGGACCCCGAAAGGTGGGAAAAGGGCAAATTAAGACCTGAAAGGGGCAAAAAAAAGGAAACAAAATCTGAAAGGGGCAAAAGTTGGCTAAAAGAGACCCTAAAGGAGGCAAAAGTAGACCCCAAAAGGGAGAGAAGAGGCAAATTAAGACCTCAAAGAGGCAAACAAAACCCTAAATGGGCAAAAAATGGCTAAAAGAGACCCCAAAAGGGGAAAAAGGAAATTCCAAAAGGGAGAGAAAGAGCAAACAAAATCCGAAAGGGGCAAAAGGAGGCTAAAAGGGGCAAAGTAGACCCCAGAAGGCAAAAAAGAGCAAACAAAACCTAAAAGGGGCAAAAGTTGGCTAAAAGAGACCCTGAAAGGGGCAAAAGGAGACCCCAAAAGGGAGAGGACGGGCAAATTAAGACCTCAAAGTGGCAAATGGAAACCCTAAAGGGGCAAAAGTAGACCCCAGAAGGGAGAAATAAAGACCTCAAAGGGGCTAAAAAGGGCAAACAAAAACTGAAAGGGGCAAAACTTGGCTAAAAGAGACCCCTAAATGGGCCGAAGGAGACCCCAAAAGGAAGAGAAGGGGCAAATTAAGACCTCAAAGAGTCAAACAAAACCCTAAAGGGGTAAAAGGTGGCTAAAAGAGACCCCCAAAAGGGCAAAAGGAGACCCCAAAAGGGGGAAAAGGAAGAAATGAAGATTTCAAAGGGGCAAACAAAACACTAAAGGGGCAAAAAATGGCTAAAAGAGACCCCCAAAAGGGGCAAAAGTAGACCCCAAAAGGGAGAGAAGGGGCAAATTAAGACCTCAAAGTGGCAAATGGAAACCCTAAAGGGGCAAAAGGTGGCTAAAAGAGACCCCCAAAAGGGGCAAAAGTAGATCCCAAAAGGGTGAGATGGGGCAAATTAAGACCTCAAAGGCAAGAGGTGGCTAAAAAAGACCTCAAAAGGGGAAAAAAGAGACCCCAAAAGGGAGAGAAGCAAATGAAGACCTCAAAGGGGCAAACAAAACACTAAAGGGGCAAAAGGAGGCTAAAAGGGACCCCAAAAGGGGCAAAAGTAGAGCCCAAAACGGAGAGAAGGGGAAATGAAGACCTCAAAGGGGCAAAAAGTGGCAAACAAAACCCTAAAGGGGCAAAAGTTGACCCCAAAAGCTAGAAAGGGGGGCAAATGTAAACCTCCAAGGGGAAAAAGGGGGGCATTTGGAAACCCTAAAGAGGTAAAAAGGGGGCTTAAAGGAGCTGCCAAAGCCTGCCTCCCCAAATACGGATCCCTTTGCGCTGCTTCTTCTTCTTCTTCTGCTGGTGGCTCCTTTGCCAAATGTCACCCGATAAACAGATCATTAACTCTGATTGGAAAGGGCCTCGGGGCAGAACAGGCTCCTGTGCGGAGGAAAGAGGCGCAAAAAGGGGGGGGAATGGGGGCGGGGGGGGGTCTTAGGTGGGAATCCTCTTCAGGGGGGGGGGGCTCCCCTTCCCTATCTGTGCCAAGGACATGACACTGGAGAGAAAGCTGCAATCCATAGACAGCTTGACCCCATTTCTTTTGGGAGGGGGGGTCTGCCAAGGAAAGAAGAAGCCCCTCCCCTCCTGACCTGGTTTCGCAGAAAGAAAGAAAGAAAGAAAGAAAGAAAGAAAGAAAGAAAGAAAGAGGCCTTAGGAAGGAAAGGGCAAGTCAGCATTGGATTGATCTGGAGAAAGGAAGGAAAGAAAAGGAAGGAAGGAAGAAGAAAGGAAGGAAGATGGAGGAAAGAAAGCGAGGAATAGAGGAAAGAAGGAAGGAAGGAAGGAAAGAGGCATTTGAAGGAAATGGAAAGTCGGCAATGGAGTGATTTGGAGAAAGGAAGGAAGAAAGAGGGAAAGAGAAAGGAAAGAAGAGAGGAAAGGGAGGAAGGAGAGAGAGAAGGAAAGAAGGAAGAAAGAAAGAAGGGGAAAGGGAAAGAACTGGATAGATTTGGAGAAAGGAAAGGAAAGGAAAGAAAGGAAAAAGGAAAGAGAAAGGAAGGAAGATGGAGGGGAGAAAGGAAGGAACGAATGAAGGAAAGACGAATCAAGGAAGGAAGAAAAGATGCAAGGAAGGAAGGGGAAAAAGAAAGGAAGGAAGGAAAGAAGGAGGGAAGGGAGAGAAAAAGGAAGGGAAGAGGGAAGAGAGAAGGGAAGGGAAGAAAAAGGAAGGAAGGAAGGAAGGAAGGAAGGAAGGAAGGAGAAAAAGAAAGGAAAGAGAGAAGGAGGGAAGAAGGAGGAGGGAAGGGAAGGAAAAGGAAGGGAGGAAGAAGAGAGGAAGGAAGGAAGGAAGGGAAAAGAAAGGAAGGAAAGAAGGAGGGAAGGGAGGGAAAAAGGAAGAGAAGAGGGAAGAGGGAAGGGGAGGAAAAAGGAAGGAAGGGAGTGAAGAAGAGAGGAAGGAGGGAAGGAAGGGGAAAAAGAAAGGAAGGAAAGAAGGAGGGAAGGGAGGGAAAAAGGAAGGGAAGAGGGAAGATAGAAGGGAAGGGAAGAAAAAGGAAGGCAGGAAAAGGAAGGAAGGAAAGAAAGAAAGAAAGAAAGAAAGAAAGAAAGAAAGAAAGAAAGGAAGGAAGGAAGGAAAGAAGGGGGAAAGGGAGGGAAGAAGGAAGGAAAGAAAAAGGGAAGGAAGGAAGGAGAAAAAGAAAGGAAAGAGAGAAGGAAGGAAGGGAGGGAAGAAGGAAGGGAAGAGGGAAGAGGGAAGGGATAGGAAAGGAAGGGAGGAAGAAGAGGAGGAAGGAAGGAAGGGGAAAAAGAAAGGAAGGAAAAGGAGGGAAGGGAGGAAAAGGAAGGAAGGGAGAGAGGGAGGAAGGGGAAAAAAAGGAAAAAGGAGGGAAGGGAGGGAAGAAGGAATGGAAGGGGGAAGTGGGAAGGGGGAAGAGGGAAGGGAGGAAAAAGGAAGGAAAGAAAGGAGCGAAGAAGCGAGGAAGGAGGGGAGGGAGGAAAAAAGAAAGAAAGGAAGGGAGGGAAGAAGGAAAGAAAAAGGAAGGAAGAAAAGAAAGAAAGGAAGGAAGGAAGGAAGGAAGGAAGGAAGGAAGGAAGGAAGGAAGGAAGAGGAGGGAGAGAAGGAAGGAAAGAAGGATGGAGAGATGGAAGGATCTGCCAAAATAACAAGGGAGATACTTTTGGACTACTTTCCCCATCATGCCTGGATGCAGGGGATGATGGGAGTTCACTGAAAATGGATGGTGGGGAACGAAGGAAGATGAAAGTAAGAAAGAAAAAGAAGGAGAAAGAAAAGAAAGGATGTGATAGAAAAGAAGAAGAGAAAGAAAGAAAAAAAGGAGAAAGTAAAAGAAACAATGAGATAAATAGAGGGTAGAAGGAAGGAAAGAAAGAGAAAATAAAGGAAGAGGGGAGGATCGGGACTCCCATCATCCTTGGTCTAGCCCTTCTCCTTCCTCTTGTCTCCGTGGCAACAGGGAGGGAGGGGAGGAGGGAGGGACCCCCTCCCCTTCAGAGAAGAAGAAGGAGGGAAGGAAGGAAAGGAGGGAGAGGAGGAGGAGGAGGAGGAGGGAAGTCACGCTTCAGGTTCCATTCAGATAAAAGGATGGCCCTAATCAGCCGCCTTTGAAGTCGCAGAGATGAAAGGGAGCCCCTCGCTGAGAAGAAGAGGAGGGGAGGAAGGGGCGGGGGTCTCCTCTCCTCCCGGAAAAGTCTGTCTGCGCTATTTGGGGGGGGGGGATCGTCAACGGAGAGACCCTTTTATTCCCTGTCTCTTTCTCCATCTCCCTCCCTTCACTGGTTGGACTACAACTCCCATCAACCTGCAAGGGAATGGCCAGAAGCAGGGAACGATTCGGATGGACTTCTCACCTAATGCCTTGCTTTCCATCTCTCGCTCTTGCCAGGAAGGCTTTGGACTACAACTCCCATCGCCCCCTTGAATAAATACATTAAAAAACTGGATTTGATTATTTCCTGCCCTATCTCCCGGAGGGGACTCACTGGATGGATCTGGAGAAAGGAAGGGAAGAAAAAGGAAGGAAGGAAGGAAGGAAGGAAGGAAGGAAGGAAGGAAGGAAGGAAGGAAGGAGGGAAAGAAGGAGGGAAAGAAGGAGGGAAAAGAAGGAAATAAGAAGAGAAGAAAGAGGAAGGAAGGAGAAGGAAGAGAGAGAAGGAAATAAGTCAGGAGGGAGGGAAGGAAGAAGGAAGGAAGGAAGGAAGGAAGGAAGGAAGGAAAGGAAGGAAGGAAGGAAAAAGGAAGAAAAGAAGAAAGGAAGGAGGGAAGGAAGGGAAAGGAAAGAAGGAAGGAAGGAGAGAAGAAGGAAGGAAGGAAGGAAGGAAAAAGGAAGGAAAAGAAAGAGAGGAAAGAAGGAAGGAAGGAGGGAAGGAAAGAAGGAAGGAAAAAGGAAGGAAAAAAGGAAGGAAGGAAGGAAGAAGGAAGGAAGGAAGGAAGGAAGGAGGAAAGAAGGAAAAAGGAAAGGGAAGGAAGGAAGGGAAGGAAGGAAGGAAGGAAGGAGAAATAAGAAGGAAGAGAAGAAGGAGAAGGAAAAGAAAAGGAGAAGGAAGGAGAAGGAAAGGAAAAAGAGAAGGAAAGAAAGAAGGATGTAGAGAAGAAGAAAGGAAAGAAGGATAGAAAGAAGGAAGAAAAGAAGGAAGGAGAGAATGAAGAAAGGAAGGAGGGAAGAAAAGAAGGAAGGAGGGAAGGAAGGAAGGAAGGAGTAAAGGAAAGAAGGAAGGCGGGGCTGACCTGGTTATTGTTATGCTATCATGGGCATTGTTATTTTGGGGGGGGGGGGGGCTTAATGGAGAAGGGCCTCAGAGACCCACACCACTGGGATTCTTGGGGTGCTTTGGCGATGGGTTCCTCTATATGGAAGCAGGTTGGTCTAGATGACCTCATGAAGGGTACCTTACCTCTCAAGGATGTCGGCCAAAGTGCAGGCGAACATCAGGAGGCCTTCGGGCATCTGCAGGGCCACTGCAAGAAGGGGCAAAAGGGTCAGGGACTACATATCCCAGGGTTCAAGGACTAAATATCCCATGTGCGCAAGGGGGAAAAAAGGACTCACCCCGCTTGGCTTTGCTCTGCCGGATGCGCCAGACGGTTTTGGGGACCTCAAAGTTGTAGTTGGGGGGCAGAGACCCCACGGCCGCCTGCAAGTCCGGGTCCGAGAGGATCTCCACAGGGATCTGGTGGGCAACATGTCGGCGGCGGAGGGGAGCTGCAAACAAAGGGAAAGGCACTCTGTGCATGCTCAGTGGTCCCCACTTTATCCAAGGCCCTGTTATTCCCCATAGAGCTGGAAGGGAGCCCATAAAGACATCTAGACTAACCCCCAGACACCAGTAGGGAATAAAAGACACTCTGCACATGCTCAAGAGGCTCCGATTTGTTATCATCATCTCACTATTCGCTTAACAAGAGTGAAATACTCAAGGCGCAATTGCAAACAGTGCCAACAAAGAGAAAAAAATAGGAAAACTGCAAAGAAGCCAGGATGGATGTCCAAAGAACTTCTAACCGTGCTAAGACACAAAAGAGACATGCACAAGAAGTGGAAAAAGGGAGAAATCACCAAAGAAGAATTCAATTTTCCTGCTTCTTGGCCCATGAGGTCTCTTCCAACTCTATGATTCTAACAGAGTCTCCATAGGCCCCCAGAGCTAGAAAGGAACCCAAAGGGCATCTAGACCAGGCATGGGCAAACTTCGGCCCTCCAAGTGTTTTGGACTGCAACTCCCACAATTCCAAACAGCCTGGCCCAGACTGAGCCCACATAACCTAAGAAACTCCAATAGGCACATGGCCAGAAGTCCTCAATGTGTTATCATTAGTTACCATATAACTCTGCACATACTCAAGGGGCTCCAATTTGTTATCATCATCACTATTCGCCTAACAAGAATGAAATACTCAAGGTGCAAATGCAAACAGTGCCAACAAAGAGAAGAAATAGGACAAGTGCAAAGAAGCCAGGATGAATGTCCAAAGAACTTCTAACCATGCTAAGACACAAAAGAGACATGCACAAGAAGTGGAAAAAGGGAGAAATCACCAAAGAAGAATTCAATATTCCTGCTTCTTGGCAAGGGGTTGGACTGGATGGCCCATGAGGTCTTTTCCAATTCTATGATTCTAACAGTCCCCATAGGCCCTCAGAGCTAGAAAGGAACCCAAAGGGCATCTAGACCAGGCATGAGCAAACTTCGGCCCTCCAAGTGTTTTGGACTGCAACTCCCACAATTCCAAACAGCCTGGTCCAGACTGATCCCCCTAAACTAAGAGACTCCAATAGGGAGGAAAAAGCACTCTGCACAAGGCCAGAAGTCCTCAATGTGTTATCATTCCTTATCATAGAAGTTGGAGGGGACCCCAAAGGTCATCTAGACTAATCCCTTGCTAGATATGTTTAGACTCCAATAAATAATAATAATAATAATAATAATAATAATAATAATAATAATGGCTCTCAGAACTGTTGTGCCCATGTGTTTTAATAGAAAGGTGGATGACAATGACAATGACAACTGTTTTGCACTGCAAAGCCCATCATCCACAGTCTCCAACAAGGGGTTCCATCCAGAAGGCATTAAATCACCTCCCGGTGGATGTTGGGCTTTGTAGGAGGAGGAGGAGGAGGCCTTTGCATCAATGGCACACAGATGGTGTTGCTCACACTCCTCTCGCCTTGTGAATCAGCCCCAAGCGGGGGACGATGGGTGTTGTTGTAGGCGTCGAAAAGGGAGAGGGCGAGGACGACAGATTTGGGGTGGGAGCCTGTTCTGAGGGGTCCCTTGAATGAATAGGGAAACCGCCCTGGGAAGAGGCAGGCGTTGAGTCACGCATTGCCATTTTCATCGGGAGGCCATAATCCAAGGGAGATGGAAAAAGGGACCCCCAAAGGTCATCTAGTCTGAACCCCATTCTGCCTTATAGCAACACACAGCTAAATCCCTCCCAAAAGATGGACATCTAACCTCTGTTTAAGGATAAACAAGGAAGAGGAAAAGCCCACCACTTTCAGAGGAAGTTCATAATTAATTAGAGTTGGAAGGGGGACCCCAAAGGTCATCTAGTCTGAACCCCACTCAGCCTTATAGCAACACACAGCTAAATCCCTCTCGAAAGATGGACATCTAACCCCTGTTTATGAATCAGCAAGGAACATACCATTTTCAATTCATTAGATTTGGAAAGGGACCCCCAAAGGTCATCTAGTCTGAACCCCATTCTGACATACAGAAATAGACACCCCCCCCCCAAAAAAAAGATTGACAGCTAACTTCTGATTAAGGATCAACAAGGAAGGGGAACACACCATTTTCAAAGGAAGGCCACAATTCATTAGAGTTGAAAAGGGAACCCCAAAAATCATCTAGTCTGAACCCCATTCTGCCATGTAGAAATAGACACACACTTCCAAAAGACGCCCACCCAAGTTCTGTTTATAGGCTTCCAAATAATACACCTGAGCATGTGCAGAGTGCCTTTTATTCCCTACCAGTTTCAAAGGAAGGCCATTGATTTGGAAGGGGAACCCCAAAGGTCATCTAGTCTGAACCCCATTCTGACATATAGAAATACACACAATTCCAAAAGATTCCCACCTAAGTTCTGTTTATAGGCCTCCAAATAATACCCTTGAGCATGTGCAGAGTGCCTTTTATTCCCTAGTCTGAACCCTACTCTGCCTTATAGCAACACACAGCTAAATCCCTCCCGAAAGATGGACATCTAACCTCTGTTTATGAATCAGCAAGGAACATACCATTTTCAAAGGAAGGCCACAATTCATTAGAGTTGGAAAGGGAACCCCAAAGGTCATCTAGTCTGAACCCCATTCTGCCTGATAGAAATACACTCCCAAAATATTGACATCCAACTTCTGCTTAAGAATCAACAAGGAAGAGGAATATACCATTTTCAAAAGAAGGCCACAATTCATTAGATTTTGAAGGGGAACCCCAAAGGTCATCTAGTCTGAACCCCATTTCTGCCATATAGAAATATAAACACTCCCAAAAGATGCCCACCCAAACTCTGTTTACAGGCCTCCAAAGAACACCCCTGAGCATGTGCAGAGTGCCTTTTATTTCCTACCAGTTTCAAAGGAAGGCCACTGATTTGGAAGGGGGACCCCAAAGGTCATCTAGTCTGAACCCCATTCTGCATTATAGAAATATAAACACTCCCAAAGGTGTCCACCCAAGCTGTGTTTAAAGGCCTCCAAATAATACCTCTGAGCATGTGCAGAGTGCATTTTATTTCCTACCAGTTTCAAAGGAAGGCCGTCGATTTGAAGGGGACACCCAAAGGTCATCTAGTCTGAACCCCATTCTGCATTATAGAAATATAAACACTCCCAAAAGATGCTCACCCAAGCTCTGTTTATAGGCCTCCAAAGAACACCCCTGAGCATGTGCAGAGTACCTTTTATTCCCTAGCAATTGCAAAGGAAAGCCACTGATTTGGAAGGGGACCCCAAAGGTCATCTAGTCTGAACCCCATTCTGACATATAGAAATATAAACACTCCCAAAAGATGCCCACCCAAACTCTTGTTTATAGGCCTTCAAATAATACCCCTGGGCATGTGCAGAGTGCCTTTTATTCCCTACCAATTGGAAAGGGAACCCCAAAGGCCATCTAGTCTGAACCCCACTTTGACACACATAAATACACTGCTAAAGCCCTCCCCAAAGATGCCCGTCTAAGGCCTCCATAGATGGGGGATAATCCACCCCACCACCATGAGGAAGGGGACAAGGTGTGTGTGTGTGTGTGTGTGTGTGTGCGGATGATGGGCTTTGCAATCCCTGTCCGCACTCACCCGCTTTCCTCTCTTTCTGGGCTGCCTCCACTTCCATGGCTGCCTCTAGTGCAATGGCGGCGCCCAGACACGTGGAGCCCAGAAAGGCATGGCGAGCAGAGCGCGGAGCCATGGATCCAGGCAGGAGCAGAGCAAGGCCGAGCACATCGATTGGCATCCACCACTCCCAAGAGCTACTGGGATGTATAGTTCACTTGCAATCATTGAGTACTCTGAACAGCACCAATTATAGACCTGGAACTAACTTGGTACACAAAACCCCCCATGACCAACAAAAACAATGGGGAAAATTCACCTTGATTTGGGGGAGTTGTAGTTCACCTATATTGAGAGACCACTGTGAACCCAAACACTGGTGGATCTCGACCAAACTCAACACACAGATTTGATAGGCTGAAATTAGATTACTGGAGGGGTTTGGGAGGGTGAACTGACCTTCCTTTCCGGAGGGATTTATTGGAGTTGTAGTTCACCTACATACAGAGCGCACTATAAACCCCAAACATTGATGGATCTGGACCAAACTTGGCATGCATACCTGATAGGCCCAAATTTGAATACTGGTGGCTTTTGAGGGGAATTGGCCTGGACATTTTGGAGTTGTAGGTCTTGGGATTTATAGTTCACCCACTTTTTTTTTTTGTCGTGTCAGGAACATCCTGTTGTGATTGTGACCCGCAATCAATAGGCACTCTGAACTCCACCAAAGATGGAATTGGACCACACTTGGCACACAGAGCCCCCATGAAAAGCCAAAAATACTGAAGGTCTTTGGGGAAAATTCACCTTGATTTGGGGGAGTTGTAGTTCACCTACATCCAGAGCGCACTATGAACCCAAACAATGATGGATCTGGACCAAACTTGGCATGCATACCCGATAGGCCCAAATTTGATTAATTGTGACTTTTGAGGGGAATTGGCCTGGACATTTTGGAGTTGTAGATACTGGGATTTATAGTTCACCCGCAATTAATAGGCACTCTGAACTCCACCAAAGATGGAATTGGACCACACTTGGCACACAGAGCCCCCACTAAAAGCCAAAAATACTGGAGGTCTTTGGGGAAAATTCACCTTGATTTGGGGGAGTTGTAGTTCACCTACATCCAGAGCACACTATGAACCCAAACATTGAGGGATCTGGACCAAACTTGGCATGCATCTCCGATATGCCCAAATTTGAATAATTGTGACTTTTGAGGGGAATTGGCCTGGACATTTTGGAGTTGTAGATACTGGGATTTATAGTTCACCCACAATAAATAGGTACTCTGAACTCCACCAAAGAGGGGATTGGACCAAACTTGGCACACAGAGCCCCCACGATGGAGCCCCGACTTCGATGGAGCCCCGGAACTATCGTCAATAATAATAATAATAATAATAATAATAAACTTTATTTATACCTCGTCACCAAATCATCTGGCTGGCTGGGGATGATGGAGATTGTAGTACCCCAGCTTCAATGGAGCCCCGGAACTATCTAGACTAACCCCCAGACACCAGTAGGGAATAAAAGGCACTCTGCACATGCTCAAGGGGCTCCGATTTGCTTTCATCATCTCACTATTCGCCTAACAAGAGTGAAATACTCAAGGCGCAATTGCAAACAGTGCCGACAAAGAGAAAAAATTAGGACAAGTGCAAAGAAGCCAGGATGGATGTCCAAAGAACTTCTAACTGTGCTAAGACACAAAAGAGACATGCACAAGAAGTGGAAAAAGGGAGAAATCACCAAAGAAGAATTCAATTTTCCTGCTTCTTGGCCCATGAGGTCTCTTCCAACTCTATGATTCTAACAGAGTCCCCATAGACCCTCAGAGCTAGAAAGGAACCCAAAGGGCATCTAGACCAGGCATGGGCAAACTTTGGCCCTCCAAGTGTTTTGGACTACAACTCCCACAATTCCAAACAGCCTGGTCCAGACTGAGCCCACATAACCTAAGAGACTCTAATAGGCAGGTGCTCTGCACATGGCCAGAAGTCCTCAATGTGTTATCATTAGTTACCATAGAAGTTGGAGGGGACCCCAAAGGTCATCTAGACAAATTCCTTGCTAGATATGTTTAGACTCCAATAATAATAATAATAATAATCATCATCATCATCATCATCATAGTCATCATCATCATCATCATCATCATCATCATCATCATCTTTATTTATACCCTGCGACTATCTCCCCAAGGGGACACATCGCTTGGCTGCTAGGAGTGATGAGACTTGTAGTATCCCAATGGGGTACCCATTTGATTGGCATGCCAGGGATGATGGGAGACGTAGTCCCTGTTCCTCCCAAAAGGCTGTAGGGACAAAAGTTTGGGAGTTATTATATATTATATTATTATTATTACTATATTTTAGTGTTCCATTATTATATTAGATTATTATTATTGTTATTATTATTGTTATTATGCTTATTTATACCCTGCTTTTTCACTCTACAAGGAGACTCCAAGCTACTTCGACCATTCCTGAACTGGGGAGAATGGGAGTTGTAGTCCATCCGCAGGACCCCAGAGAGGTAGGATTATTATCACGGGGAACTGCAGTAAGGTGGGCCTCCCGCTGCCTCCTCCTCCTCTTGCTCTCTCCTCCTGCTTCGGTTACGCTGAATTCGAATTCGCCATGCCTCTTCCTTGGCAATTAGGATCAGGCCGGCTATTTCTCGGGGCTATTTTTAGGCCCCAGCCCAGTCTCTTCGCAAGGACGAAGCGGCCGCCTCGATGCTGCAAGCCAATGGCCATAGTGCAGGTTATAGTCAGGACCATGAACATGTCCAAGAGCCCGGCCAATGCCCTTCACAAACACATTCGGGGACAATTTCATCCTAGATTTTATGTGTCTCCTCCACCACAGGCACCCCGGTGCTTCTGACTCTCTCCATTGGTGTGGAATTTGCATGATACTGCCCACTGTCTCTCCCTTAACCCTTTTCTATTCAGGAACTGATCCGCAACTGAACACGCTGGAGGGGTGTGAGGGACTGACTCAACATGATGGAAGTTGTAGTTCACCCTGCATCAAGACACAGCACTGTGACCCCCACTGACTACATTTGGCACATAGAACCGCCATTACTAGGTTTGGGGTGAACTGACCTTGATTTATAGGAGTTGCAGTTCACCTACACCCAGAGAGCACTGTGAACCCAACCAATTATGGATCTGGACCAGACTTGCCATGGATGATGGGATTTGCAGTACCTTCACTGACGTCCAGAAGCAACTGCGACCCTCACAAATGACGGTCCTGGTCCAAACTTGGCACACAGACACCCCATGATCTACTTTACATCCTGGTGCAGTTTGGGGGGTGGGGTGGGAGGATGGACCACAGATAATGGGATTTGCAGTACTTTCACACACTTCCAGCTACCACTGCGATCCTCACGAATGACGGACCTGGACTGAGCTTGGCACACAGACACCTCATAACCTACTTTACATCCTGGTGCGGTTTTGGGGGTGGGTGGGGAGGATGGACCACAGATTATGGGATTTGCAGTACTTTCACTCACTTCCAGGTACCACTGCAACCCCCACAAATGATGGTCTTGGATCAAACTTGGCACATAGACACTCAATTGTGCAGTTTGGGGGGGGGGGGTGGACCATAGATGATGGGATTTGCAGTACTTTCATACACTTCCATATACCACTGCGACCCTCACGAACGATGGTCCTGGACCAAACTTGCCACACAGACACTCCATGACCTGCTTTACATCCTGGTGCAGTTTGGGGGAGGGGGGGGGGAGGATGGACCACAGATGATGGGATTTGTAATACCTTTACTCACTTTCAGATACCACTGCGACCCCCATGAATGACAGTCATTGACCAAACTTGCCACACAGACACCTCATTACCTACTTTACATCCTGGTGTGGTTTGGGGGGGAGGGGGGGGATGGACCACAGATTATGGGATTTGCAGTACCATCACTCACTTCTAGAAACCACTGCGACCCCCATGAATGATGGTCATTTGCCAAACTTGGCACACAAACACCCCATGACCTGTTTTACGTCCTGGTGCAGTTTGGGGGGGGGGGGAGGGGGAGGATGGACCACAGATGATGGGATTTGCAATACCTTCACTCCCTTCCAGATACCACTGCGACCTTCACGACTGATGGACCTGGACTAAGCTTGACATATAGATACCCCATAACCTACTTTACATCCTGGTGTGGTTTGGGGGGGGGGATGGACAAATGTTGGGATTTGTAGTACTTTCACACATTTCCAGATACTACTGCGACCCTCACGAATAAGAGACCTGGACTGATCTTGGAACACAGACACCCCATAACCTACTTTACATCCTGGTGTGGTTTTTTTTTTTTTTTTGGGGGGGGGGGGGGAAGGATGGACCACAGATGATGGGTTTTGCAATACCTTCACTCACTTCCAGATACCACTGCGACCTTCACAAATGATGGACCTGGACTGAGCTTGACATATAGACACCCCATAACCTACTTTACATCCTGGTGTGGTTTGGGGGGGGGGGGGGGGGACCACAGATTATGGGATTTGCAGTACCATCACTCACTTCTAGAAACCACTGTGACCCCCATGAATGATGGTAATTCGCCAAACTTGGCACACAAACACCCCATGACCTGCTTTACGTCCTGGTGCGGTTTGGAGTGGGGGGGGGGGGAGGATGGACCACAGATGATGGGATTTGCAATACCTTCACTCACTTCCAGATACCACTGCGACCCTCATGAATAACGGACCTGGACCAAACTTGCCGCACAGACACCCCATGACCTGCTTTACATCCTGGTGCAGTTTGGGGGGGGGGGGGAGGATGGACCACAGATAATGGGATTTGCAGTACTTTCACACACTTCCAGCTACCACTGCGATCATGGTGCTGGACCAAACTTGCCACACAGACACCCCATGACCTACTTTACATCTTGGTGTGGTTTGGGGGGGAGGAGGATGGACCACAGATAATGGGATTTGCAGTACTTTCATACACTTCCAGATAATACTGCGACCCTCACGAATAACGGACCTGGACTGAGCTTGGCACATAGACACCCCATAACCTACTTTACATCCTGGTGTGG